TAACGCTTGATTAAATGGAGTTGGCTCACACGCCTCCACCGCACGTCACTTTGCCTCGCGCTATTCGCTTCATCCCTCTCATTTCCTGCCCAGATCAGTGTGTATAAATATATGTATTCAAAAATCCATTCTCGTGTTTGACTTGTTTAATTCTGCTATTCACTAACGCGATTTAAGTCGATAATTATATGCGAAGATTGACGATATATACATTTCAACATGTATATCTCAATAGTAATCAGAAACTATCAAACTGGAGTCAGAGATAGGGGCCACAATGCCATTTCAGTCATATGATTACTTATTCTGTGGAGTTACTTCTGATTTTATATGGTCGAAGATGTGTTATTTATAGGCAATGCGTGCTCATACTGTTACCAGGCAACACATTGATTGGGTTACAAGAAATATTTAAGAAAAGACAATTGTTATTCTCAACAAGAAAGCAAATATTTTGTTAAAAAAGGAAGTGTATTTCTAGAGAACTAACTTCGAACTTGAAGTGTTTTGAGACCTAGACGTTATTTCACTTGGATGCAGTAAAAATAGTTTCAAGTTGTTATTTTAAAAAATCTGTGTGAGAATAATTTCATTAAGTTTACACTTAATTTACTCATCTTTTTTCTATAAAGTGATTTGTTCAGCAAAGCTGAGTTATTTACACTACAGGTTATCGATCGGTCGAATTTCAGAGTGTATTAACGTACTGTAAGGTTATCATTATATGTGTTTAAAAAGAACTAATCACTTCATTGTGCTTTGCATCGCACATCTTGTTTCATTCTATATTATTTCTAAACTATTAATGCACCCTTTTTATTTATCTAAAATCTTGTTTGTACATTGTGCTTTTTTCTATTTGCGATATGCGGTCATGAAAACAAGTCCAAATTTGCATAAATTGTCGATATGTTGATTTGTTTTGGGTCAATTGTTAATCTTATCGTAATGTTTGTTGATGTGGCAAATGATATATCTTGATGTAAAATTTTAAAGGAATTTACAGATTTTTGTTTACATATATCAATCATGTAATGAGTGTGCAAGTTTCTTTTGATCAGTATTTATAAACTTTATACGATCTGAATTTCACCAATAAATTAATTCCTCAACATTATTTTTACTTATTTTTACTTATGTCTTTCACTCCTTATATCTCACAAATTTGAACAATTTCTTCTTGAAGTTCATTACCGTGAAGTGTAACCATTTTAATCAAGACACTTATTGTGAATTTTGCATTCCTAGTATCACTTCTTGAAAGCGTAGAAATTCTATTTTAACAAGACTTAAATCTCGATCCCAATGTATTCATAAATATCAATCTAGATAGGCAATGTGTTACAATTGTAATATTGATATTTAGCTTTCTACAACTGATGTGATTTTTAAGATTATCCGATTCAGATGCTGTATGTTAATGGGAATGCTAAAAGCAATAATAATAATAATGTTAATAATGACAATAGTTCTTGTTTTCTACTTTATTGTTTTTCAAAGTCAAACATTGATCAAAAGTTTCTCTCTGTAACGTGTTTCCTTGTTTATCAACTTGTTGAAAAACGTTTCTTAATATCATATATATAACTGGAGCTGTTAATCAATTTGGGTGAAGTAAGAATTAGCAGATGGTAGAGTCTAAACTACCGTCGAATTCTCTTCTCATCAAATCTGAAGCTTACTGTTGTCAAATCTGCGAGAACTCATATCATTACATCTCGCTAACAGATGGCATAATCATACCTTATAAACTGTCTGAACATTAAATTCTGATCTTAGATAATAAACGATTATCTACGTTAATAAATGTTCACTGGATTTTTTCTTTACCAAATCATTTTCATTTTTATAGATATCTAAATTATTTATGTGGATTAGAGTAACAACATTTTAAAATAAGGATTGGTTCAGCGAATATTTCTCTCTTCGGTGAATTCATTTTCAAAGATGTACAGTCGTAAATATATATACCCTTTTTCAGGATGATGAGGATTACAATAACTACAATAATAGTGATAATAGGTTTCTGTTAAACATGATAGCAGTGAAGTAGAATTAACAAACGTATTAAAATTTTTTAAACAAGGAAAATAATGATAGTTTCATTGTTAAGGGCTTAAATATTCATCATGAAGATAAGTAAGGAAATCATAACTGGAGACGAATGGCTCAGCATGATAAGATGAAATGTAATCAGTGGGATCGTAGAAACTGAAATAAACCATGCAATTGGTCCCCTTTATTGAAATAAACCAGTTGGAGGCAGAACGTCTATAGAGAAGATGGAAGGGGAAACAGATAGCTGTACAGGAAGAAAAGTATGGAGAAGGAAAGAAGAGAAACTCATGAGACCTTAAGACTATGGTTATATCAATGTTTTTTCGACAACCAATTCTGATTTTCTCAGATGTATGACTATCGCTTCGGCAATGCTGAGAAGATGCAATACGACTGTTTTTGGCAGCCTTCTACTTACCTTGTAGATTACTTTGAACTCACAGTCCTCCTTGACTGAGTGACTTGTGTTTACAAGGTGTTCAATTATTAAACCATTTCCTCCTTCTTTTAGCCATGCCGAGTATTGTTCTTGAGTTTTTTTTAAAGGATAAATTGCGCATCGAACGACCTGTATTCCACTTCACCGTTTTAAACCATATAATTCAAGTTCATTTAAACCTGAAAATATTTAGTTTTGAAATTCATTAAAGTTATACAATAAGACCAGGCCAATCTAAACACAATGAGTTTTATCCCTAGACAGTCGAAACAGATGACCAAACTATCAATGAACTAACGGTTTTGTTTTGTTCCATTTTATTGCTGTGAAAAATCATGTTTTTTAATACATATACCAATGTATATAGTATTCGAAAATTGAGCTTAATATCGGAAATAATATCAGAAATTGATTTACAATTAACATATTTGAGGAAAGTAGAAGGTAATAAGTTCTTTTACAATATAATTTTTCGAAGAATATTGGTAAAATGTTGCGGCGATTTCCCTTTAAATGATCATTTACAGAGTATTGTATAGATTTACCTAACTAAATTTTACAACTAAGCTTGACAGTAATCATAATGGCTTATTTAAATATCTTTGACTATGAATTCGTAAGCCAATTTTCAATGTTCCAATGTGAATGATATTACTTTTAAACTTGTAGCTTATGAATAGGATATATTTCTATTCAATAAGAAATTTGAACTTACTGATATATCTCTGGCTGACCAACAATTATTGTCTTCATGGATCAATATTTGTTGTCATCAGTTTCATAACATTTTAGACAACTAGTTCTCTCGTTGTTTACCATCTTATCTAGGTACGGTAACGGCGACTGATTTGTTTCCAATCCAATTTATTGCATGACTTGTGCCCTTTTCTGATTGTCTTTATTTTTAGTTCGCTAATTTTCTGTATACTTGAAAGTCATGCTTTTGTTATTAAATATACTGAATTCTAGTATTTCAAACTGTTCTTCAATATCAGGTTCTTGCTACGCTTCATCCATTTCCTTCGCCAGCGCCTAATTGTGTGAGTGTTATATTTTATCTGTCGTTATTGAGTCCATAATAGAAACGTTCGTATTAAAACAGTTTAATGGTTCCTTAATTAGCAAATATCGTAAGTCAGTCGGAAACCCTGATAGATATTGGTCTCTTTTAATTAAAATTTAGCGTAAAGTATGTTTGATTGGTTTTTAATTATTAAAATTCACAATCAATTTGACACTGTCACATACACATGACCACATATGTTTACTATCTTTATTGACGTAAAATGTTTAATTAATGGGTGTGAATAATAGAGTGATTCGTTGATTTATATCTACTTATCTACTTTTCATTCTTAACAAAATTTTACTGCTGTTATTATTGCTAATACTATCCTGTTCTTTTGTATGATAATTGGGTGAGACTATAATTTATGGACGACCTTTGAGCGACGCTAAAGTGACCTGAGAATGTCCATCTACTTACTAGAGCTAAATGAGGATTGTGAAGCACTTTGAAGAATAAGGATTATGATTTACAATTGATGGTTAGCGTTAGGAATTAGATTTATGGTTTTCATCATGAACTGACGTAATCTAAAATGCCAAAACGCTATCTAGCCAAACGGATGAATGGATTTCTCGCCAAAATCCAAAACCTGTTATACCAAATCTGATTGGTTCGTCCATAAATTATAGTCTCTCTGATAATTGTATTAAATAGTATTGTGTTCTTTTCATTTTGTACCGTGATAATATTTTCATCTTGATATTACATTGATAAAATTCCAAGGTTTAAATAAAAAAATTATACATATATCGAACAGTCAATTGTCTAAAGTGTACAGTTGGAAAGGTTTTACTGTAGTGTATTCTATTTAAAATCCACTATTGTAGTAATTACAGAGAAATTTGTTCCATCAGTCTGAGAATGATCGATAACTAGATTTGTTTCTACTGAGTTCCATTTTTTGGATGTGGACGTTTCATTAGCACTGATTTTCTGTGAAGAAATCCATCATAAATAGATCCTTGATCATAGTCTGCTGTTAGCCGAAACTTATTTCCGTTTATTTATTTCCATTAGGAATTATGCATATTAAGCTAAACTAACCCGGAAAACATTATTGAATAACATATATCATTAGATGGTACCACGCAAAGCTACCTTATCGATTTTATGAGTTATAAAACATCAGTTTTAAAAACAATTTATCGATTATTAATCGAAGAAACTTTCAACTCGGACTGTTTTTTGGCTAAACAGCACAATAACTTTATAGATGGTATTTAGTCGGGAAGCTACACACCTATGAAAAATGTTGACATGAATCATGTACTATTGAAATAGTTTACGAATTTTCATTGTATATTATCCTAAGTTTTGTATTGTGACTAGGTAATGCATAGTTATTGCTTTTTAGTTATTAATTTAAGTATATTAAACCATTTTACCATTCAAAAAAGAGATTATCATCTTAAAAACCCTTTGTTTCTGTTTCAGACCTGTTTTACATCTATGTGGTCATGATTTTGCTGGGTATGGAGTGATGTGGAAAAAAGGAACTCTCTTTTGTAATGCTGCTTTACAGCTCACTTCAACATTTCCGTCTACTGGTTTACCTAGGCGTCATTCCAAAAAATCAGTTAAATACAAGTCACATGATTCTAATGAGTATTCTTATGCGCTTGGTGATTTTCGGGAACCCCCATTGTACACAGCGAAACCCAATGGTCGACCCCGACCTCCAAGATGGCAACGAGGTTTACCAAAACAACTATCTCGTTTATTTTCAACTAACCAAAGTTCCACTGGTTGTTCTTTTTTTCGGCGTACTCGTACACTCAGTTCTGTTGTAGTTACACCGACACAGAGTTCAAAAGCTGCAGTAGCTCATACCAGCGCTGATATTGGATTTATATATGATCCAGATATGCGTGCCGGGGTTGGTGCAATGGCTGTTAACGATCCAACATGTAGTGGTAGTACACATATAGGATATGCTAGCGGTGGAACTGGTTTTTCTGGCAGTAATGTATGCTCTTCTGCTTGTCGTCGCAGTCCTATCGTTGTAGATGTTTATGTTGTCAATGATGATCAAAGTGTAATCCTTCCCCCATACGCCAGTTCTCTAATAAAGATATTAAATACTCAGGAATGTACAATTCATGATTAATCACAATTATTATTATCATTTCATTTTACTTATTCATAAAAACATAACTTTATCGATTTATAAAGTAAACTGTTGTAATATTGTTCACACATATCCATGTCATTTTTCGAATGCATAAACTTAAACATAATTGGTAGGAGAAATAACGGGAATTGATTCTTTTCATTTGAGTTTTATCACCTTACAACGTTGTTTAAAGAAGCAGCAAAAATGTAACGTGAGTTGAACTTCAAGAGTAACACACGTTTCTCTATCTACTTTACAGATATAATTTTTATCTAGTTAACTCAAAGTATACATTTTTTACAACCTTATGTGTGTATTATGCATAAATAATTAAATCTGTATATTTTTTTAAGAAAATATTTTACAAGCAAACTAATTCTTATCTAAATTATTTTTAATAACTGTTAAATGAGATAAATAAATGTATTAAACATTTTCGTAAATGGTGTTTTGAATATTCTGGGATTCAAATGAATGTAAAGATATCCAAAAAGGTTATTAATCAGAAATGACGTAATGAGTTCCTGTTCTTTGGTTAATTATTTTAGTTTATGGTGTTTTATGACACGAAAACAGTACAGTATTAAAACTTGAAAAAAGAACATGCAGAGGTAAATGTGGTATTTCTGGCTTTTTGGTTTTCTACACGTGATCATTGAAATTCTATGATTTCGGTGCATATGACACTCATAAGTATGGTCCTATTTTCTTGGTGATGAACAATAACAATGCTTGGTTTAATTGAGGTAAGCAGATTCTTACGAAAAAGTATACTGTCATGTCCCTGTAGATATACAAGTGAAAATTTGAGAAAACAATCTGAAGTGAATAACTAAAGAAGATAATGAAGCCACTGAATAACACAAACTTGACTCGAACGTTTTTGTTTCGGCTGTGTTCTGCATACATATAATCTTTACTAAGTATATATATCGCTTGTAAATATTTTCTTAAGTTATTTGATTGAAAATATGGTGTACGTCCGAATTGTAATGTCTTAATCATTAATAATAGTAAGTTGGTTGACCTGTGTTATTCGTTATAAAATTATCTTTACGATTATACGGTTTAGTCTTAGGAGCGTTCACTTACTTGTTGTGTCACCCAACAAGATCCAAGTAAAAATAAAATCAGAATGTTTGATGTTATAGTTGAAAAATTAACCATTTTGTGAGATAGCCGAAACAACATTAACAGTACAAAATCTTAAAAAACAGTAAACGTTCATTGAATATCCATAAATATTGACGGGATATGTTCGTAATTTTTATTTTTGAAAGGTTATGATGTGGGAAATGCGTGTGTCCTTTTCTTAATATCTTACATGGAACTTGAATAGTATTGTGGATATATGTGCAACGATTCGATTTTCTAATCGAAATTCTGAACCCTCATTATTATTAAGAAAATGCATTATACTTCTACTCCATGATAAGATCAAGATAAAATATTGAAGGCTGTTCCTAATGAAAAGCTTAGGAGTCACAGTAGCTCTTGAAAATGAAGTTTAGGATATAACTAAGTGACAATAGTAGATGGTCGAGTGATTTGTTGAAGTCAGACATTAACACCGTTGGATGCTGAGTAGTTTAGAAGGTAAATGTCCACGCGAAACTGAAGTTCCTGGGTTAGATCCCTGCTTGCGGGAACGTGAATGCGCATCACTTAGGAGCCAATTACTAGGACGAAACGGCTGTCTAGGTTTTCAATGATGACCCAACATTGATCGATTTATGATTTTAATGAAATTCAACAATATAACCCTATACTGACGATTTGATTATTGTTACTAGTTTTAGTTATTTCGTTCTTAAGTCAGTAATCGTGAACTAGAAGTTATTGGTCTATTCATGGTGGATCTGTCTTAGTTATAATTTTTGAACTTCGAGCTAATTATCACTTCCCAGTGGTTTCTCGAAATAGAGGCTTTGTGTCATAGGTAGTGGAGCGTCGATTAAAAGCAAGCTACCTATTTGCGTAATATCTGTAAATTGAACAAACCCACAAGTATCATTATTAACTTGTGATTGGTCTGCTCAACTACAGTATTTTACGCAAGGTTGTTTAAAACCCTAAATATGTTTTCATCAGGGCAGTCAAACGCTTTTTAAGGTGAACATGACAAAAATACCTATGTAGAAGTAACCAGTTCATATTCATTCAAAATATTTAATGTGCGTCATTACAAAAGCAATCAAAGTAGCCAATTTGTAACTTCATCGATTTTCGTTATGCTCTTGACAACCGCATCTACCAAAAACTAGTTCAATGTGAAAACATTAGTATAAAAGTTTGGATTTTATAAGTGGATAACAATGCTGTGACTGTTATATAAGCGATAAAAAATATGTACCAAGCATACAATACATTAGAAACTAATAAAAATGATTAATTTTGTTACAAGATGTCTTCACATATAATTCATAAAATATCAATTTTCTTTACCACCAAAGTAAAAACATTGGAGTGCTTTAATTGTTCCTCCTGGTTCACTTTACAAAATTTATATAATCTGGAAGAACATTAAACTATTACATCAACCTTGTATACAGCAACTTATGAACTTTTGTAAATGTTCGTTTGTTTTTAAAAGAAAATATTTATTACTAATCAAAGAATTTACACAAAATGAATTAGTCTATCCATTTCATAAACATTTGGCATAATTCCAAGTCATGAAATTTAGGAAAATAAAAACAAAACATCTAACTAAATTTAAGTGAAATTCAATCTTTTAGGGTTCATTTTACCTGTCGTGAGAAAAGATAAATTTCTCCTCAAAGCTGTCAAGAGAACTTTCCCACAACCCTCAACATTACTTAATTTTCGCCCAAAATTCTGCCGGGTTGACGGATGTTTTCTTAGAGAGACCCACTTTCTGCAAATGTTTATGATCTGCTTCGATTCTAAATCAAGTATCGCTTTAAGAAAACTTCAGATACCCACTTATCCTTTGTTTCAACTCAGTAGAGCTCAGTGACAATTCTGATTTGCGTGCAAACAAGTCTTCAACTGCAAACACTTTGAATCCAATGTACAGAAATATTAATGAAGTTTTACATGGGTCACATTTATCCGCGGTCACTAAGATTCAGTAGAATAACAATTAACAGCTTGTGAGGAGTGTCCTAACTAGAAAAAATACTAAATTAGAGTCTCATGTTTTTCAGTTAGTTATACGAGATACCAGTCGGTGAATCTAGTTGTTTTTGTACATTTCTCTTAATAGTTAGCATGGGAATATAACTGGATTGAAATAAATATTCTGATGAAACTTACAAATTAACGAATGAATGAGCTAAACATCTTCAAGTTAATGAAAATTTGCAAAACATTCAAGAATAATCGATCAATATTTACACGAAGGCAAAATATACATAAACTCTAAAACTCTATCTTTGATATGTTTTCATTGGACTTGGATGTACATTGTACGTTGAAGGTAAGTGAAAAGTAGTAAATATAAAGGAATCTGAAAGAAAAAGAGAAAAACGAACACAACAACACAATAGGTTCAGAAAATCAACTTAAATTCATAACAAAATCAATCCATAACATTTGACAGAAATACGAATGTGAAATCATGACAATCTAACAATCGGAATTGAAAGTTGATACAATAAAATTTTAATTTGGTGACAGGTGAATGGACTAAAGATCATCTCATTTGGATTGATTAATAGTGACGAAATTAGCATATTTGTTGGCATGGTTTAATAAATATTCTGACTAATAAGTACTTCAAAATTATTTATGCAATTGTATTTTAAGAAGTATTTCTATATTTATTTAATTTGTATTTTATTCATTCTTAAAGGTTAGTGATAACGTCATAACACTTGTATTATTCTTATAGAAAAAAAAACTATGATATATTTGCTGATTCATATAACTTTAGTGTATATATTTTAATCTACATTCAACTTCATTGAATTAACTTGTTGCCTCGTTTTTTCCGATAATATTTGCATTTTCTTCCCCGCCCACGTACATCATTTATCACTGTTTTTTTCAGCTCAAATGTCTACAAAACCACGTGAGTCACTCATGTGCTCTTCGTGTACATGTAGTATATACATAGTTTAACTGGCACTAGTCCAAGCATATTATAGATTGTTGATAAAACACCTACGCTTTCTTTTTATCCTCTTCTAGCCATCACAAACAATTTGCTGTTTTCGCTTTTACTTTGTATGTTCAGTTGTCAAAATTCTGTAACATACGTGTGGTTTTTAGTATTCCCGATTTTTTTAACGCCTAAACCAAAATTAAAATCAATAAATGTATGTTTTTTTAAGGGGTATAACCAAATGAAGTCATAGTATCTCTCTGTAGGCGTTTTACCTCAGTCTGTTATATACTATATGATGGTGCATAACTTCAATTACATGTTTAATAAATTGTATTGTGGGATCATGACAACATGTTTTTCTATGTAAAAGTTAAGGATACAATAACTAACTACCATAGTTTTTGTTTAACATAGAGACTAAATTAACTAATGTCACTAAAAAATACATAGATTTGGAGAAAACATCTACAACTGTATCGTTTCACAACTGAGTATAGCAATCGTTAAATCATTTTTTTCCATCAGTACGTTGCAAGTTCCAGCCCCTTTCCACCTATTTCGATTTGAGAAGATAGGCCGCACCATTTCCCTAACTCAAGAGTAGGATATGATTCATACTTACTTACTTACTTACTTACACCTGTTACTCCTCGTGAAGGAGCATAGGTCGCTCACCAGCATTCTCCATCCAACCCTGTCCTGGGCAATCCTTTCCAGCTCCTTCCAGTTGTAATTCATCCTTTTCATATCTGCTTCTATTATCCTACGTAATGTGTTCTTTGGCCTTCCTTCATAGCTGAGCATATAAACCCGCACTTCCTAAAAGAGTTTCGCAATAGTGACAAACTTATTTGAAAATCTTTAAAACTTTCAGGAAGTATCTGGTTGCTGCTTAATTATTTTATCAATCCAGTTAAGATCT